CCCCGCCGGTGGTAATGTGCCCCCTTTTTGCCCCCCCCCCCCCCATCTCCCGACGAGAAGCGCCAATCTTCCCCCCAAAAGCCCCCCCCGCCACTTTTTCTCCTGAGGAGCCCCACTAAGGAGTATGAGATCCCTGGGATCTCATACTCCATAACACTCCCCTGCCCACCTGCACTCTGTAACACATGACTACTCGCAGCACCCCCTGCCCGCCCACCCGCTGCCCGCCCACGCTCCCCAGTGCCTGCCCACAGCACCCCTCTGTGGTACCCACATACCCCCCATAGTCGTTACCTGGGACTCCCACCTGTTTCCACTTAATGGCCTATGCATTCCTGAGGTTATGATGGCAAGCCACTAAATGATGCAGTCACATGACATGGTGCTTTACAACCCCATTGCTTAGCAGTGGCAATCCCAGTCCCAATTGTCATCGTAACCTGAGGACTACCTGCAGTGTTTCCTTTAAACGGAGGAAAAACTCTGTAATGTATCTACTTCCCTCCACACTCTTGTCAAGAGATTTTCCTAGGGATTATGGGACTCATAGGGTTTTAAAAAAAACACCTCAAGATCTCATGGTCACCCTGGAAGAAATGATCCACTGTTTATTATTTCCAGTAATTACTAAAAGAAGAGCTGATGGACAACTGGGCCATTCAGATGTTTTGGATTATAATTCTCCTCAGCCTTTGCCAATTTGGCCATTGGTTGGGGATTATAAAAGCGGTAATCCAGAGCATTTGCTTGGTTTACCTGTAATCCCTGCTTGTTACCCCTTCCTCAAAGGAAAGCTTTCTTAGATGGAAGAAATTTATGGGAAAATAGCAGGGTTTTTTCTTAATGTAATTTTTTTGAGAGGTTCAGACATTCAAAAACATCTTTTTTAAGTGTTTGACTGAAAGGACAGAAAATCCAAAATCATCTTTTGACCTATTCCTATTGCATCTGGGCCTTCTGGGATAGGGAGTGGTGGTACTATAGCTGGTTATACTGGGGGGGGGGGGGGCGGGGGTGGATTTGAGCTTGGGACTTTTACTTATTGAGTCCTACATTATAACACAGTGTCCCCAACATGATGCTGTGCAGCTTCAACTCCCAGAATCCCTAGGCAGCAGCTCATGAAAGGCTGTGAGTAGCACAAGACTATAGAAACTTACAAATACAGTGGGGCAAAAAAGTATTTAGTCAGCCACCAATTGTGCAAGTTCTCCCACTTAAAAAAATGAGAGAGGCCTGTAATTTTCATCATAGGTATACCTCAACTATGAGAGACAAAATGGGGGGAAAAATCCTCGTAAGAAGCATTTCAAGGTCCTGTGACCAAATACTTATTTTCCACCATGATTTGCAAATAAATTCTTTAAAAATCAGACAATGTGATTTTCTGGATTTTTCCCCCCATTTTGTCTCTCATAGTTGAGGTATTCGTAAGAAGCATTTCAAGGTCCTGTGACCAAATACTTATTTTCCACCATGATTTGCAAATAAATTCTTTAAAAATCAGACAATGTGATTTTCTGGATTTTTCCCCCCATTTTGTCTCTCATAGTTGAGGTATTCGTAAGAAGCATTTCAAGGTCCTGTGACCAAATACTTATTTTCCACCATGATTTGCAAATAAATTCTTTAAAAATCAGACAATGTGATTTTCTGGATTTTTCCCCCCATTTTGTCTCTCATAGTTGAGGTATTCGTAAGAAGCATTTCAAGGTCCTGTGACCAAATACTTATTTTCCACCATGATTTGCAAATAAATTCTTTAAAAATCAGACAATGTGATTTTCTGGATTTTTCCCCCCATTTTGTCTCTCATAGTTGAGGTATTCGTAAGAAGCATTTCAAGGTCCTGTGACCAAATACTTATTTTCCACCATGATTTGCAAATAAATTCTTTAAAAATCAGACAATGTGATTTTCTGGATTTTTCCCCCCATTTTGTCTCTCATAGTTGAGGTATTCGTAAGAAGCATTTCAAGGTCCTGTGACCAAATACTTATTTTCCACCATGATTTGCAAATAAATTCTTTAAAAATCAGACAATGTGATTTTCTGGATTTTTCCCCCCATTTTGTCTCTCATAGTTGAGGTATTCGTAAGAAGCATTTCAAGGTCCTGTGACCAAATACTTATTTTCCACCATGATTTGCAAATAAATTCTTTAAAAATCAGACAATGTGATTTTCTGGATTTTTCCCCCCATTTTGTCTCTCATAGTTGAGGTATTCGTAAGAAGCATTTCAAGGTCCTCATCTTTTTAAGTGGGAGAACTTGCACAATTGGTGGCTGACTAAATACTTTTTTGCCCCACTGTACTTGCTTCTGTCAGATAGATATTATACATACATGCATATATCTGGAAGAATAAGAGAGGGAGAATAGACTGTTTTCTCTTTGGCATCTAGCTCAAACTGAATTTCCAAGCAAGAGTCTCACCAAGTTTTCTTTAACAAGATTTATTGATATGAAAGGAATGGGGTTATAAGAATTTCAGCAACTGAACTATTTCCCATTTAGAACCAATTTATCACTTCTTATATTTGGGCAGAGACATTTTTAGTTTCTTTGTAACAGCCTTCCTTTGATATGGTAGGGAGGTGGACTTTTCACTGATAACGAAGAGGCTGTTTACACAACAATCTCCTGAATCTTTATTAGGAACCAGCCATTATATCAAGCTTCACATCAAGCATGGCAGTAAATCCGAGGTCTTCAGACACATAGTCCCATATTCAGGAAGTTGTTTATAATAGAAGAGAATATCTCTAGCCCAGGGTTGAACTGTGGAATCTTTGGTGCTCTCTGAGCTTGGTTGTTTGCTTGCAGATGTTTCATTACCTGACTAGTGACATCATCTGCGCTAGTGCTAATGCACTGATGATGTTACCTATTCAGGTAATGAAATGTCTGCAAGCAAACAACCAAGCTCAGAGAGCACCAAGGACTCCAAAGTTGTTTATAGCTGAAGCTTACATACATGATATGGGAAGATAATGTGCTTAATTGCAGACAAGATAGAAGCCATGTATAGGTGGTCCCAAGGTTACACAAGACATGACTGTAATGAATTCCACTGTATGCAAGGAGTGTAAAACAGAGAGGCTGCCACATTTGTGCATGTGCAAAATGGCAGCCACTATTTTGCGCACATGCAAACATGTCAGCCAACTTTTGTTATGACTTAGCTGAAAAGGAGTCAAGTCAATATGCCAATCCAGTAGCTTGCACATTGGAGCTGCTGTCTTAAATCTGACCTGGGAATATATGCATGTGTTATGCAGATATAGATTCTTATTTCCAGAACTGGAAGCAAGATAAAGAATAATCTTTATCTGTGCCACCTGTGAAAAATTCAGTCTGGCCCAAAACAGGACTTCTTCCCTGCACAGAGTCTACTGCATACATTGGGTTACAAATGGAGGTGGGGAGGTTAAAAAATCTTGCTCTTCAGACTATAGCATGTAACTGCAATATACTGCGGTTATTTGTGTACATCTTTCAAACATTTTTTAAGGCAGGACCAGAAGATGAGAGAATTGGAAACAATTTAGGAATGAGAAGGAAAAACCAACAATAGCTATAAGAATCGAGCTATATTGTTGGCTGCAGTTGGAAAACTTAGCATAAACCTCTTTTTGCCTTCCCAGTTTCAGCATTGTCTTAAGAGCTGGAAGCATTATTTCATGCTTTTAAAACCGATTTAAGCCTGCAGATACGATGCATTGTATTGGATCAGCTACCTGAGAGCAGGATACAGAACTAAAGAAATAGGCAGTTCAGGCTGATCTGGTGTTCAGTGCTCAGAGTTGGTGTATTCTTGAAGGTTTGGGGGGGAAAACCCCCTATTTCTCATACTGTTTGGTTTGCTGCAGTTTCTCCGTGTCACCCAAGGTAGCTTACTTCAATCCTCTTGTCTTTTCCCATCTCTTCAAACTCTTCAGAGGATGAGAATCTAGAAGTTGTCATCTGCACAGTTCTTTGAAGGCATCAAGCAATATGCAGACTCTACAATCTGTAATGCTATTACCCATTATTACCACCACAGGCAAACTGTGTTTCAGTTAGGACTGATCTACAAGGAGAAACATTCATAAATCTCAGTAACTCATTCCTCCCAAGGCTATCCATTCTCACCTATTTATATAATTATCATCTACGTCGTGTCTCCCCAAACAGGGCTGACTTACCTACCAAGGTTAGCATTAAATCTCAGAAAATGCCTCCTAAATCCAACATATGGCATGTTGTTTTCTTTGTATTTATTCGTTGTTCTTGGTTTAAAAAAAAAATAACGTCCCTTCAGACCGAACTACATTTTATGTGAAATTAAGTAAATAGAGAAGTATGTTGAAAGAGAAAGCCAAGGAGTAATCCTAATTTGTGTATGTGTGTGTGCATATGTGCCTACATGAACACAGATCTCAAATCATAACCTGCGAGGCAGATTCAGTTTCACCTTACAGTACTTTCAAATTTTACAAATTCAGATTATTCTCACCTGTAATCTAGGCACTATAACCAGTTTGCATAATGTGCATTCTGCAGCAGACTGGGTGATTCACTACCTAGTTGTATATATTTATAAACTACTTTCAGGGACATACTTTCCTGAAAATAAGATACAAGGCAACAGTCTACAGAGGCACTCCAATTGCAGGCTAGGGGAATCGGTTTTGCTTTTATCAGAATCTTAAGATCCATTAGCTCCATAACCTCTAGCTACATACCCAAGGCCAGGAGTTTGCGATCAGTAGTGGAACAAAGCTCACAGGTTCTCACAGATATCGGCTCCAAGTTCCAGCCCCCCTCCAGCTTGCTTTTTCATCAGTGTAGTTAATTGGAGGGTGTATTTTTTAGCTGTTACAATCTTTAGACAACTGGAAGTCAGAGATTCTCGCTTATCTGTTACTGCTCAGCCTAAGAGGCGTCACAGAGGTATTGATGTAGGCAACATACTAAGGAAAGAATAGAGGCAGCATAAAGTCAACTTTCCACAGCCTAGTACCTTCCTATTTGCCAGACTGCAACTCATTAATTCCTGGGCAGTGCAGATATTTGACCATGTTGGATGGGATTGATGGGAGTTACAGTCCAAACATCTGGGGGAGATTATGGGCCTTTTGCAGTTGAATCCAAGGCAGCCTTCAAAGAGAGGCTTTGTAGAGTCAAATAAATAATGGGGGAGAGGTGCAACTCTATTGAAAGGCTATTCCAGAATTGAGGAGCCAATGTGTCTTCTCTGCTCAATTACCTAACAAATACAATATCCAAAGCACATCTCAGCTTGTTGGAAGATGAATGAAGGTAGCTCTTTGCATTAACTTGGTGTTCATTGCTAGTTTCAGGCATTTCCACTGAAAGACAGACATTAGCTGAAATGGGGCTAATTTTGAAGCTAATATCTTGCTTCTGTGGTTTTTAGGTTTGAAACATGGATAAAATAACACTTCTGCTCAGGATTGTTTTCCCACGGAAGAAGCTAATCAGAACCCCCCACTGGATTCAAAGATGGAACAAACTGAGAAATTCTGTTTTGCTAATTTGGATGTGATTTTGACTTGGATCGTTTCCCTTTCTTTATAGCTGCCCCCAAGTTGGCTGCAACAACGAGGAGGTCAAGAAAGAAGACCTGATGTCTGATGAAGTCCTTAAAAGAACAATTGACAGTCGGAGTAAACAGAGCTAGTCAACACAGCAGAGGGCATCTGGCCCCAGTGGTTGTTACAACAAAGAACATGTGGCAGTAGAAAAGTTCATCTGAGCTTGAGTTTCTGATTTTCAGCTGGTTGTGTAAGAGATTGTTACTGCAAGTATTTCAGTTGAAGGCAAAGTTGAAGGTCTGACCTGTTGCTAAAAGCATTTTCTTGGAAACTGCCAAGTGTAAAATGCCTTGCTTTGTTTACCTTTATATATTAAAAAAACAGTATTCAGCACCTGCATTTCATAAATAAAACTATGAAGGCCATCTTTAGTCCCTTCATTTGGCAGGGAGGAAGGGTTTCAGAATTTCTCTCTAATGTTCATATTACAAAGTGTGCTAACAAATCTTAATTCATCATCTTCTTGTTGATGCATTTTCCCATGCGCAAGAGGTAATAAGCTAACAATTTAATTAGAATTTCTGGACACATAGTTGGTAACATACCATCCATGTCATTCATAAGCAATCTTCCAGTATCATATTACAACCAGTCCATATGTATGGACATACAGTAATGTGGTTGGTTTGGTTTTAGCTTAGTGTTTTGTATGAACCTTGGTATTGTAGTTTGGAGATCATAGCTTACAGTATAGGAAGATTCTGAACACAACCAGTTGTGGTTTATTCAATAAACTGTAGTTAAGTAAATTACAACTTAGTGCTATGTGTGATCCTGGATAGTCTAGTGGGGTTCAGACATGATTAAGTCAACGTTTGACCACAATTTATTGATTAAACCACAGTAAATTGGATTCATGCTATTGAGCTAAGTCATAAACCATGGCTTCTAAAACACAATGGCTGTATTCACAGTGGCACTAAGCCTAAATCAAACTAACCACATTATGGCTTAGTATGATGTATGAACTCAGGAATGCATTGCCACTATCTGAGTAGTGATAGAAGTGTGTTAACAGGTAATGAAAAGGGAAATTTTAGTGAAGGAGTACTAGTAGTATTAAGACAAAGAAATGGGTTGATGCATTCATCCAAGAACAGAGCAGATAAACCTCACAACCCATTTTTCTCTTTCTGATAAACCTTGTGAGACAGCCTCAGCTGGGAGGAAATTGTCCAAGGAAGCTGGCTGTGGCAATACATGTCTATCCAGAAATAAGTTTTCAGGTGCTGCTACTGCCGCCCTGGAACCCTCTATCTGGTCAAGGGATCAAGTTGGAGTCTCAGCCCAGGTGGAGTTGTCCACTCCTGTACAATGTCTTACATACAAGTAAATGTATATGAACTGTGTGAGCCTGCAGGGATTCAGATTTGTACCAGTATGGTACAAGAATTCATCAGCAATGGACATGCTGGTGGGATCAAGATGTCCAGCCTATTCCAGGTCTTTTGATAAAAGGTGAAGAAAGTAGTGAGAATGGAAATGAGAACATTTAATAATACAGGCTCTTCTGATGCTTGGAGGATGTGAGATTAGGAGAAAAGGAGATGAGACTGAGAAGAAGAGAAAGGAAGGCTGACATGTTGTTGATTGCTTCTGTGTAAGAAATGGGCTCACCTACTGGATTAGTGGTGAATACAGGCTTATGGGCCACATTTCTGAGAACCATACACATTATTGTGGGGGAGGGGAAGGGGGATTAAAGCATAAATATGACAGGTTGAAATCTTTATGTAAGGTCTGAAAAATTTGGTCAGCTTTTCTACAGAGAAGTGATGTTGCTGACTACAGTCTTTTGAAATCAACACATAGTAAGAGAAGAGGAAGTATGGGGTCTCAAAGCTTGAAGCTGACCTTTTGTTCTCTGAATTTCTCCAGTTGGTCTTGGAAATAGGTTAGAATTAAGGATTGTATCCTAGTTTCAGTGATTTTTAAAAAGAGACAAGCCCTTCCTGGAATATACTCACAAATGGGGAAGGCAAATTTTGGGTTATGTCTAGCTAGCTATCTTATTTGAGGAATGTAATTATTTATTACATCTCCTTTCCATGAATGATTTACAATGATAACTCAGTGGTATTCTTCTCACACTGGGGATTGGGGCAAATGTAGATGGAAGGCACGAGGTTGGGGAACACTGTTGCAGACAGGACTGAGTTAGATGGATCCGTGCCTAAGTTGATGTAAGGCACTTTTCTCTAAAGACAATATGGCTACGTATGAACAACTTGCTTAACCAGGTCATTTATAGACTTTATGGCTGCATTTGCTAACTTGGTTAATTTTCACATTGGTTAGATTTTGTGTCTTATTCTGTTTTACAAACCCATCCCATTGCTTCAGAATCTAATATATTGTGTGAACTGAGGTGTGTGGCTGGATTCACATGTCACACACAGACATAAGACATGGTTTGATTCTGGTTTAGCATGCTGTATGAATTCTGCCATTGTGGTTTGCAAACCTTGGGTTATGGCTTAGGGTTTTAAGCAAAACTTGCTAATTCCAGTTGATTTGGTGAATCATGGATAAACAAGTCATGATTTGGTCATGAACTTGTGAACCGGATCATCACCAAGAGGAAAAAGGAACAGGGTGGGAGGGGAAAAAAAATTCAAGTAATCCTCTTTTCATATGTTATAAAGTAACAATGACAACAGATGAGCTAGTTCTAGGAAATGGGGCAGGGAGTGCAGTGGAAGTTGAGTATAGCCTGACTCCTTCCACTTGCTTTCAACTTCTTCTAGAAGCATCTTTGTTGCTTCTCTTGAACATGACAAGAACACAAATGGGGAGGCTGCTGGAAGAATGCCAGCAAAACTGAAGTGTTGCATTCAGGAGAAGAGAACCAAAGCTATTCCATCAATGACCTGTGCAGTGATGGAGACTATTGCCACATAGTCATCTTACCTTTCCTTCCTCCCTGGTTTCAGTTAAACAACATCTGAAAAAGTCATGAAACCTGAACTCCTAAGCAGGAAGCCAAGGCTATTGAGGTGGGGGGTGGGACTGAATTCAAACCATTTTGTGTTCTTTTGCAAATTTAGTTGCACAAGAACTTGAAAGAAGATTAACTTCCAACTATGTGTGCTTGGAAATGCTTAGCTCTTCATTATTGCTATTGCAGCTCTTGAGTGTCACTTAAGACATCCATCCACCCAATTCCTGTACTAGAAGTAGAGAACATATGGCTGTTGAGCTGTTATTAGATTTTAATTCCCATTACTGTACTTCCAGAAATCATAGTCAATAGGCATAAGTGATGTTAGTTGTAATATGACACCATACTGACAGCCACATATCCTTTACACCTCTCCAGCAGATTAGGGGAAGACAGATTAGCCGAAGCAGACCACAAATAAACTTTTCAGTCATTCTACATAGAAATGATAGAAGTTTGTAGTCCAATGTACAAAGGCACCATGTTGAGAACACTAAGTTTAATTTCTTGAGCCTCTTTTTTTTTTAAAGAATGAAATGTTATTGCAACGCTTTCTGGTTTTTACTTGCTAGTAAGCATAAGTGTTACCACATTTATCCCTGATACGAGATCATGCATGTGGAAAGAACTGATGACAATGTTAGATATACATGTCATAGAGTGGCAGTTTAGAATCTCCTGGAAGCTTAACAAACCTATTTTTATTCTGGAAAAAAATGCACAAAACCAGGGTCCCAATATTTGGCATTTGCGGCCAAATTTCACTGGTATAATTTCTGGGGCTGTAAAAGAATAGCTTAGGAGGTATAAATTGCCTATCTCCATCTTAATTGGCTCTCTGAAATGAAAGAAATGAAAATTGTGCCTTGTAATCCATGTAGGCTCTCTCATCTTAGACCTAGGAATCAAAGCATTAGTTCAAACAAGCAGAGTGACTCCAGTGTAATGGAACTGCTCTAGGACACATTTGGTCTTTGAGTAGTGTGTTGGGGGGCTGTATTCCCCCAGATAGGCAGATCCAGAACAAAAGGTGTTTGGTCCAAGACAAAAACTACATTTTGTTCAAATGAACTTAGATACCATTAATAAGATTACTCCCTGCATCTTTAATAAATTTTCCTTTTGGTTACATTTCAAAATTATACTTCAGCAGCAACTGGAGCCTGCATTGAAGATTTGGGGGGACAGTATGTGGCCCCATGGCTGGGTTCACGTGACATGCTAAACCAACCAAAATTTGGCTTAGTTTGTGAACACCCAGTCATGTGCTGGTTCCCTAAAACAGGTTATTATTTCTGTTCAATCCACTTGATTCCAGCTTCTAGTCCTCATAAAAATCAAAATCCAAGAAGAGGTGGAAAATAGTTCTGTGAATTGGGATTATATGAAAAGATTTCCCAACAAAACCCAGGTGTTTCTGACAGATGAATAATATTTGCCTGGCCAAAAAAAGAAAAAAAGGAGGGGGAGGAATTGAAACACACTGACTCAAGTGTTTTCACTTGTGTGATCAAACTTCTGAGAAAGGGAAAAAAGCAAGGTTGAATGGGAATGTTAAAGTTTGACTCTCTGATTTGCAAATTTCCTATAGCAAAAACAAAGCAAGCTTTCAGGCTGTTTTAGATCTGAAAGCAATGAAGTCAGGAGACGGGTGTTCATGAGACCTTGGCGGAGGTCCTCTGCTGTGTTGGCATAAATCTCTCTCTTTTTTTCCCATTAGACCTAATGAATGCCCTACAGCTTTCAGAACTGAGGTGCCTCCCTTTATTCATCATGGGAGCAGTCCTGTTCCCTCTGGGCACTGCAGCCACTTCCTGTCACTGGATACTCATGCTCATCCCATAACAGGGAGGAAAAAGGAGAGATGGGTGGGACCTTTGGCTGAGTTGAGGGTGGGACATCATCCTGGGGATGGGACTTGGAAGGTGGAGTAGCCAGGGAGGCATGGTTGGTGCTGTATGAAAGTGATCAGAGGGGAGGTATTTGGAAGGGTGGTGACAAAACACAGGCTTCCACTAAGGAGAAGGAACTTGTTTTAAAAAATTGGCTGCTGGGATGGGAATAGCTAGTCCAAAGCAGCAGTTTACTAAAAACACTAATCTGGTTGCTCACTGCCATCCTGTCTAGTTTTCTAGCACAACCCGCCTTCCTTTTGATCTCCCCCTACCACCCCAGGCAAGTGGGCACATTTCTCAATAAAGCATTAACCTTCAGCCAGCC